ATGTTTTTCATTTACATATGTTATAAACTCCACAATACATTGTTATTTTTGTTTTCAACAGTCATTTGTCTGTTAAGCAATTAAGGTGAGAAAAGAGTAGTCTTTTATACTTAGTGGCTTATTTTCTATTTCCATTGCTCTTCATTCCTTCCTGTAGATCTGATTTCCATCTATTGTCATTTTCCTTCAAGTTAAAGAATGTCTTCATTTCTTCTTGTGTAGAAGATCTGCTGGAGATGCATTTTCTCAGATTTTGTTAACCTGAAAGTATCTCTATTTTACTTCATTTCTGAAGATATTTCCATTGGATACAGAATTCTAGGTTGCCAGATTTTGCTTTTCTTCCAGCAGTTTAAAAGATAAAATTCTGTCATCTTATGGCCTCTATTGTTTCTGATAAGCAGTCATCATTTTTAAATTGATGTTTACTGTATGTAATGTGTCTTTTTTCTTTGGATGCCTTAAAGAATTTTCTACTTTGGTTTTCAGCATTTTGACTGTAATGTGCCCAGATGTGTGTGTGTGCACATGTGTGTGTGTGATATTAGTTGGGGTTTGCTGAGCTTTATGTTTTTAATCAAATTGTCTTCAATTATTTTTCTGCCATATGCTCTCTTTTCTCTCCTCTGGGACTCCAGATACATGCATGTTAGTCTAATTGCTTGATATTGTCTGACAGGTCATTGAAGCTCTGATCATACTTTTTCTAATCTTTTTTTCTCTCTGAGCTTCATTTTGGGTAATTTCTATTGACTTCTTTCAAATTCATGAATATTTATTCTGCTGTGCGTAGTCTGATATTTTTCTTATTCAATTATGTTTTTAAAAATTTCAGATATAATATTTCAGTACTAAGACTTCTATTGGGTTCATTTTCAGAGTTTCTATGCCTCCTTTTTTTATTTTTAATTGTTTTTAGTTTATTTTTGGGGGAGAGGGTTTAATTATTTTTTTTTAAGTGAAAAATTTTATATTTAGATTTAGCCAGCTGGACTCAGCTTAGATGATCCCAATTTTGTGGGTAACATCCAAAACATCATAGTCAGGAGCCATATGCCTTCTTCTTTCCATCAGGCCTGATCAGGGTGTTGACCTTAGCCACGTCAATGTCATGGAGCTTCTTCACACCCTGTTCATACCTCCTTTTTTTAAAAAATTGATCCATGCCTATTCTGAAATTCACTTTCCCCATATCTTCATCCATTATATCCATCTCTTCCTGTAAGTTCCTTAACATATTTATAATGAATCCTTGTTTTGTAATTCCAACACCTGAGCTGTCTCTGTGTCTGCTTCTGTTAACTATCTTTTTCCTCTTGAGAAATGTCACTTTGCTGCTTTGTCACATATCTAGTATTATTTGATTGTATAGCAGATATTGTAGATAGTGGTTATAGAAACTCTAGATTCTCTTATCTTCCTTTGAAGAGTGTTGAATTTCCTTCTGGCATTCGGTTAAACTAGTGGCAGATCACCTTGATACATGGGAGGCTTGCTTTCAGTCTTTGTTAGGGAAGGCCTAGTTCGGTTTTGCCCTTCGCCCTGGGAAATGGTCTTTACTCCTAAGGTGTGGCCCTCTGGGGTTTCAATGTAAAGCTCAAGGTATTTTACAAGCCCTTCTAACTTCGTAGACCTTGAACTCTTAATCTGTTTCCCATTGATGGGAAACTGCTGAAATCTCCGTTTAGTTCTTTTAGCCTTCAGTTGTTGGCTCCTTGGAGTCACCCTATACATATGACTATAGGATTCAAACAAGGATCTAAGGGAAGCCCGTGTGCCAATTTTGTGGCTCCTCATCTGTGGCTCCCTTTTTTTTTAAACTGAAGTATAGTCAATTTACAATGTTGTGTGTGGCTCCCTCTTTTTCATGGTTTCCCTCCTCAATTTCCAGCCACTGTGGCCACTATACACTCTGACCTCTAACTTTTCTGCTCAGTAAGATTCTTGCTTTCTGCCTGAGCTCTACTCCCCATGTGTAGTTTGGCTTTAAAATGCCCTGAGAGGAAAAGACAGTTAAATGTGGTTCTCATCTAGATTCCTTTTCTTCATTTAAGGGTCGTATCTTCTCTGGTTACCTGTTTAGGTTTCTCTCTAGTGCCTTCAAATGATTTTTTTTATTCAAGTATACTTGATTTACAATGTTGTGTTCAGATGATTTTTTCACTGAAGTACAGTCAGTTATAATGTGTCAATTTCCGATGGACAGCACAATGTCCCAGTCATGCATATATACATATATTTATTTTCATATTCTTTTTCATTAAAGGCTATTATAAGATATTGAATATAATTCTCTGTGCATATGATTTTTAAAAAATATTTTTCCAGAGTTTACACTAGCAATCACCAGGAGTGTTGGCCTGATACAAGCTACTCTGCCATTATTGCAAGCAGAACTCACCCAAATATGTTATTTAAGAATTTTTTGTTTTGGTACCCCGTTTTTCTGGATCACCTCGTATATACTTGGTCTTCATGTTGGGTAAAACAATACTGGAGTTTGGTTGTCTATTCTGAGAATTGCTTGATTTAACTTAAATTTCACTTAACAATCCAGTAAATTATTTATTGTTCCTAATGGCTATCAAAGTTTCAGAGGCTGGAAATAGGTCTCTAACAGTGACAACATCTTGAGTCTTTAAAGTTAAAAAAAAACACTTTAATCTGTTTTGTGAAATAGGTAATACAGTCACATCACTCAAAATTAATAAGGTAAAAAGGCTATATAATAAAAAGCTTCACCCTCACCTTTCTTGCGTGTTTTTTTTTAAGCTGGCAGCCAAAAATTTGATCTCTTGCATTATGCAAGCAAACTGGTTGTATCCTGTCTGTCATAATCCCATGAGTTCCTTGACAAAGTTTTCAAAATGAATGACATTCCCCAGCAGGGATTATTACAGAGGAAGGCATCAATTCCATTTAATTCTGCAAACATTTACTGAGCCCTACAGTGTGCCTGGAACAATATTAGCTATTGTAGAGTAGAAACATGAATCATATGGTGGAGGGTGCACTTCTCTTAATTAGAAAGGAGAAGAGACTAGAATGAAGGACCATTTGTAAGGAAATCTGATGCCTCTTCTTGACCCAGTTGGAAGAGATAATAGAAAAAGGTTCAGCCTCTGTCCAGCTGACGCCTGGAGTTAGGGTTATATTCTTGGCGCTGTCTCTCTAACAGGGTGTCTCTCCCACCCAGCAGCTGCCCTCTTTACAGCCAAGCTCAGCACAGGGTCCAAGAACCTTGCTGGATGCTTGGTGTCTAATTCACAGTTCTTAGGGAGAGGGAAAAGCTTTGTCTCTGGAACTTCAGAACGTTGAACTAGCTACAGTTTACAACTGAAGGGTGGCTCAAGTTGCTGAGTGTCCTCCAGCCAAGTCTGAAAGGGCTGAATCACCGTCCTAGCAGCTGAAAAAAGCACGTGTGTCCATAAAAGTTGGACTGAAAAGACACTGGAAGCTGAGCATACCTACAGAGGCAGCAGCAAACATAACTATACAGTCCTCATGTGGCCACACCTTGAAGTTCCCACAAGGGCTTGGATAGGCAAGGCAAGGCAGCGTGAACACAGTAGGAGGGGCTGCATGGTAGGCCCAGGTGTTTGCTAGGAATTTGGGAGTATTGCTGAGGAGAGGAAGAAATTGCGAATAGCAGTGGTCAGGTTTTACAGCTGGGTACCTTTGCTCCTCTGCAAGAATGTCAGATGGAGCACACTCCACCTGCCAGCTGTTCCTGGCCAGAAAATAAAACTTGTGCATCTTCCATGCTGTTTTTTTTTTCATTGGAACTCAAGATGGGGCTTGGGCCCTCTGGCTACCACAGAGGAGCAGGTCATGCCATTCTGCTTTTGGCATTTGCTTTTGGAAATTTTTATTTGATCCTCCATTCCAATGCTCAGAACAAAAGTAACTTATAAGCACCAGTCCCTCCTGTGATGATGTAAAAAAGGCTCCAGAAAGCAAGGGCTGGTGAATGTAAATTAACCACAGTGTCCACAGTTATTCTTTTGAGGTGTGTAAGAAGGTTGCTGGTAGTTTATTTAGTATGCTGTCCTTAGGGCTTAATTAGAGTGACTGTTAAGGAAAGAAAAGAAAGATTGATAGGCTTTACTTTCATTCCCAACCTGTTTCCTAATTCTCCCTTCTTCATGAGGCTTAATTTACTAGGTGGGGATTTTCAGAAATTGAATTCTTAAGAGTGGGAGGGACTAGAGCAGCACCAATAGAAATACAATGCAAGCCACAGACGTTTAAATTCTTTAAGTAGCCCAATAAAAAAGGTAAAGAGAAACAACTGAATTGATTTTAATATTTTCCCTAACCCAGTAATCTAAAATATCATTTTGACATGTAATCAATATATTATTGATGAGCTATTTTACCTTTTTTTGGTACTGTCTTTGGGATCTCGTGTGTATTTTACACTTACAGCACATTTCAATTTGGGCTAGCTACATTTCAAATGCTCAGTAGCCACATGTGGCTAGGGGCCACGGTATTGGGCAGCACAGAACTAAACCATAGGCCACACTGATGCCCTCCAGGTCCCTTAACGCATGCAGACAACAAGCCCTCTAGGCTGCATTCTAGGAGAGCACAAGCGAGGGTATAGCTCAGCGGTAGAGCGCCTGCTCAGCATGCACAAGGTCCTGGGTTCAATTTCCAGGACCTGCAGTAAATAGAGACAGGCAGGAGAGGGGTTAGGATGGGATCAAGTTCTGGGATTCCAGCTGAGTGTTGCTGATGAAGAAAACTGGAAAGCAAAGGGAAACTGGAAAGCAAAGGGGGAGGGCGTGGTGGGTGGGGACACCTGAGTAAGGTCTCGGCGGCGGAAAGAGGCCCTTTTGGAGGGCAGGGTTCTGTGGGACGTCTGAGAACTTGGTGGACAGTCACATCCTGCCACTCGGACAGGGAGGAGTGAACTTGGTGCGACCCTCTGGCTGACAGCTGCTCCTGTTTTGTCTTTTCTTCCCCCTCCCCGGCCACCCTCCCACCCCCGCCAGCCGTGGTCCTCGGCCTGCCCAGCGCCCGGGCCGCCGAGGACGCCTGCGCCAGCGCCTGCCCGGCAGCCTGCGCCTGCAGCAGTGTGGAGCGCGGCTGCTCCGTGCGCTGCGACCGCGCGGGCCTCCTGCGGGTGCCGGCCGAGTTCCCGTGCGAGGCGGCCTCCATCGACCTGGACCGCAACGGCCTGCGCTTCCTGGGCGAGCGGGCCTTCGGCACGCTGCCGTCGCTGCGCCGCCTGTCGTGCGCCACAACAACCTGTCCTTCATCACGCCCGGCGCCTTCAAGGGCCTGCCGCGCCTGGCCGAGCTGCGCCTGGCGCACAACGGCGACCTGCGCTACCTGCACGCGCGCACCTTCGCCGCGCTCGGCCGCCTGCGCCGCCTCGACCTGGCCGCCTGCCGCCTCTTCACCGTGCCCGAGCGCCTCCTGGCCGAGCTGCCCGCCCTGCGCGAGCTCGCCGCCTTCGACAACCTGTTCCGCCGTGTGCCGGGCGCGCTGCGCGGCCTGGCCAACCTGACGCATGCGCACCTGGAGCGCAGCCGTATCGAGGCCGTGGCCTCCAGCTCGCTGCTGGGCCTGCGTCGCCTGCGCTCGCTCAGCCTGCAGGCCAACCGCGT